CATCGCAGTGTGACATCATGGGCTGATGACATCATCAAACCTCGGGGACGCATCGCAAATGGCAACCTGGCCCACAACGGCGCTCTTATGTAAGCTAGCGGTCGAGCCTGGCGGCGGTCGGCGTCGCGCGCGCACAAACGCACACCGAGAAATTACCGCGCACACACCAATCAACCGCCCGGCGTACAGTCCACAAACATCACATGCACACACAAAAACGCGTGTGGCTGGTCGTGTTTGAATGTGTGTGTGAATATGGCTGAGTGGGTGCGTATGCATGCGCTTTGTTACTTGTGTGTGTGTGTGTGTGTGTGTGTATATACGCAGACGCATCCACACGCATGCATGCACACCTGAAGACGCACAGGCAAAGAGGGAGGAAACGAGTGTGTCATCGTGTATAATTAGCGAGCGTCACGTGGCCCGGCGGCGCCCCCCGGCACGCGGCGACGAAGGCGAGCGCTCACGCATCAACTCGGATAACGTCCACGCCACTTTGTGTCCTGCTTTTCCGCTTCCCTGATCCTCTTCTTCCCGCCGCCTTTTATTGCGCGCGCGATAAAAGGCGGCCACCTAAGCAACCCCCCCGCCGGCGCACCACCACCACCACAACAACAAGGACGCTTCAAACGGCCAAAGGGCGAAAAGCGCCACCCACGTAGAAACGGCCCGTCAGCCTCCATCGGCGGGCCCAAAAACGGCACCGCTGGACTTGGAACGGGGAAACGACGCATATGGGTTGGCGGCTCCCATCCGGGCTCCCGCTGGCCAGTTGACCCGCACCTCTCCCGGATGAACGGGAAGAAGGTTTCGAGGCCGGAGTCGACGACCGTATGGCGGGGCCTGCGCCGAAAAATCCGGCGGTTGGGATCGGCGGCGGGGGGCCGGGCACAAACCAGTGAAAGATCGGGAGCGCGGGGGCCGCTCCTCACATCCGCGCGGAGATTGTTTGCGGGCTTTTGAGGGAACTATTTAGGTCTTTGCGAAGCGCTGGCGTGAAAGCCCGGCGGGGGAGGCGGCGGGTCACGCTGGATTTGTCCCAGCGGGCCTCGCATATGCTGCGCGGGATTAAAGTGATCCCAACTTAATGCCCCGGAGCGTGCAATCATTCATAACTGGCGCGGCGGTGGAGGCGGGCGGGCTGCCCGACGCACGCCGCCATCTGCCGCAACGCCGCGGATTAACTTCCAGGAAGATGGGCGGGGGAGGGGCCAAAATAACAGGGACCAGACGAACGACGCACTCCCATAGAGAAAGGGAACGGGACCATCGCCAAGTCGAGCCAAAGCGGCTCGTCTGTTCACGGGGTTCCGGGAACGGAGGGAGCTACCGCGGCGTCCAAATTTGCTGGAGTCACAGACACGTCGCGCAACTGAATCCACTGCGGTGGGACGCGCTCCAATTCCACGCGATACGACCGAGTGGGGTCCAAACCAGAAAATGCGAGGCCACACAGACCACCGAGTCATGGAACGGAAGGCCTTAGAGTCGCAATTATTCGAACAGAGCATGGCAGGATCCGGTCCGACGCGCCAGCGCACAGAAAGCGGAACGGACGGGGGTCCGGCTGATTGTCGCGGAAGGCAGAGGAGGAGAGTACGGCCGAGTCCAAGGCCAAGATTGAGGCGCCGAGTCGCACCAACAGAGGAGGGTTCCTTTGAATGATGCGCAGTCGAGTCGACCACTCCGCGCGGCGGCGAACCGACCGCGACGGACGACGGCGGAGTGCGGTGCAGGACTGAACGACGCGATCGAGTCTGACGTGGAAGCCGCTATTTTCAACATAGGTGTGCTTTGTTTGTGCCATCTCGCAGAGCGGATGACCTCGGAACCCCCACCTGCTGCACGCCACGCCACGCCCCCTCCGGACCCGTGTGCCTGCCAGCCAATCGACGGCCGGCGAGGAGGAGGAGGAGACTCGCCGCGGCTGCCGCCCGAAGCAAGAACCAGATCGACCGGCTAATATTTTTTTTCTCTCGAAAAGCCATACCACGTCGGACGACGGCATGAGGCGTTTCCGCGCGCCTGCTGCATTCGAGGACCCCTGTGATTTTCAGACTCTTTCCATGCCGCGTGGCCTCCTCCTTTGCGCTTCCCGTTCCCGCACGTCGACATCCCGAAAGGCGCTGCGAAAACAAGAGCGAGAGGGAGAAAGAAAAAAAATCAGCTATTTTCACAAGAAAAGCACCGTTTTTGTTGGTGGGGGGCGGAAGCGGCAGTGGTTAAACATGGAGTATATTTTCAAAATAAAAGGACGACCGAAAAAGGAAGCAGCTGGGCGAAGAAAAAAAAAATAATAATAAACAACATCTCGACATCTATCAATCATTTTCATCAATTTGCTGCAAAGGGAGGCAGTGGCAGTGTGAAAACATCAAGGCCGGACACAAAGACTTTTCACAATAAAAGGAGAAACAAAGCGCCAGTAGTCGGAGAACATGATTTAAAAATAAAAGTAGCAAAAATATATATACACACACACACACACACATATATAAAAAGACAGCAGGACTAATGGAAATCGGAATATATTTTCACAATAAAAAAAGCATCCACAATTCGCAGCGCACATGCGAAAGTAGGACGGATGCACGTGCGGTCAAAGAAGCGGGGCCCCTCAAACACGGCGTACATTTTCCACAGTTCAAGTGGTGCGAAAAAGGGAGCAGCCATCACAAAGCGAGAAAGACGGTCTCTGACTTTTCAGAACCAAAGCGCTTCCGAATAAGAGCCCTCGCCCGCGTCAGTTCAGGACACAGAGGCCGACTTTGCGTCGGACTGACGGCACGTCGGCATCGAGAACGCGATTTCCGCGTCACGTGCGGGCGCCGCACGCAGCCAAGTCGAGAAACTGGAAGACACGGCGTGGCGGTCGCCGCACGGGACTCTCCATCGCCGCTGCCCTCGTTCTCGCTTTGGCGGCGCCTGCCTGTGACGCGGTACCGCCGAGTCCGTTCGGCGCCGCTTGCCTGTCGCCGACGACTCGGACGGACTCGGCCGGCCCGAAAAACTCTGACATAACTCATCGGATCGACGATGACCGACCGGAGCCAGTATCTATGATATGGACTAGCATACGATATGGACTAGCAGTCGGCCGATCGCGGATGAAGCCAGAGGGCCGCCATCTTTCGTGGCCACAACTGTTTTCTGTCGGGTTTTCCCCCCCGCCCCCGCGATCAAACAGAGAGTATATATTTTCACAAAAGGTTTGCCGGAGTGGTTGGATTTTTGGGAGGATTGACATTTTGACGGGCCACCGGCCAGCCGCATTTAAATCTCCAAGGGGGGGGGGGGGGACACGAGAAAAAGCAAATGCGTGCGTTTGATTCATCTTGCTCTTCCTGTCGCCGTTCCTGTTTGTCTTTGGTCTTCTGTGTGCATGCTCTCCCTGGTCAGTGTGAGACGCCCACGCATGTTTGGGCGCACCACTCCCGTCCGGTCCGGTCCGATTCAGTCCCTTTAATTAATGGCTCCTTACTCCGAACCCACTGACCGACGCTGCCAAATGGGTGCGAAACAGCCAAACGTTTTTTGTGTGTGCGCGAGCGTATGTTCAAATGTTTGTTGATTTTCGATTGAATAAAATCACTGCCTCGTCTGCTCGTCGGTCTCTGTGCATTTCCTCGCGCGTGCCGCCAGAGGGAGCCATTCATAAGGCCATCGATTCCCCTTCCGCGACCCAACAGTCCATTCCGCTCAATTCTTTTGGGATCCCTTCCACTCGGACGCTCAAGAGTTGAATGGAATACAACGGAGGTTCTCCAAGCTGCTCTTTTGCTTGCAAACCTGGCCCCTGGAGCTTAACCAGCTGCGAGGAGAACAACAACAACAACAAAAGGCTTAGGAGGGCTGCGCAGAGCATCAGCGAGGCACATTCACATCGACGGCCTCCAGTAGATTGCAGTCAAATTTGAGAGAGTACAATATCATCTTGGAAAATAGCTCACTATGCTGATGTTTGCCTTGGACATTTTCGATGGATTGTTAAAAGCCGACTAAAGCAAACGTCCTTGGATCGGGTCTTTACAAAACGTCAGGCAAAAACCACTTCTGAGAACGTGAATTCAAGAGGGCAAAAAAACAATGAGGACGCACTTAAAAGTTAAATGACAATCATTTTATTCTTGAATCTATTCTTTGGGTTTTTTATAATGTACACAACTCTCATTTATTGTGCAATAATCTAATTGTAACGTATTCGTTACATCTCTGAATTTGGGGGAGGGGGGGGGGGCTTGGAACAAATTAGAGCATTTACATGGAAAACGCGTCCCTACCTCAAAAATTTTCCGAGTTGAGAAACTTATTCCAGAGCCAATTAATTTCGTAAATCGAGGTACCACCGTATACAATCGTCTAGTCGTAGTCTAGTCAAATGGGTACTGCGTCAAATCCTTACCTGGAGTGAAAATCAACCAAAGTGAACCATAAATTGCTCTCTTTTCTATTCCTTTGCTGTCGACTCGAACATATTCCACAGTCCTCAACAAAGATGCTATAGACTCTTGTTTTGAATTTTTTTGTTTAATTCAACTCCACTTGACTACTGCGTTTTCTATTCTGTCTTTTAAAACGTCTTCAATATGTTACGGTAGAATCAAATGGTGTCAATTTGGAGAAAACGGTTTGGATTCAAAGTTGGGTCGCGCGGAAAAGACTACAGCTCCCAGCATGCTTTGCGTTCGGAAAGCAATGTCGGCCATCTTGAAAGTAGCGGTGAAGAAAGATTGATGCGGTGAGCTCTTTTTTTAATATTTTGTTTTTGTGATAGATACACCTATATCTTTTAAATTCTTCCACTGCGCGTAGTTTCTCTTCCCGAGCGCATTGACCGATTACTGAATCCGCGGGGCACGCCGCGCCCTCGGTGACCTTTCTCCCGCCACGAGCCCTCCTGAGCCTTTTGTTATTGTTGTTGTTGTTCTCCTCGCAGCTGGTTAAGCACCGATGGCCAGGTTTGCAAGCAAAAGAGCAGCTTGGAGAACCTTTGAGGCTACTCCCCCCGCAACCGGCTCCACTCGACCAGTTCATTCACACGATGGCGCCGGAAATCCTCTGAAAGCCGCCAGTTGCTTTCGCTTCATTTAGCCACAAATGTTAAGAGTCCTCGAGTCGAGCGTCGGTCGACGTGTCGTCAGCGCGGATTCTTACAGAATAATGTCAATCAGCCCCGCTTAACACCGCATGAAAACGCGTCTTGAGCTGCCGGCGTGGGAATGGAATGACGTTAGCTTTCGTGGCTAACGGTAGCCGTTTGCGACAACGGCGCACGTCAAGCCGGCGTGGCGTCGGGTCGCGGCGCCTCACGTCACGCAGCCGCCGGGCGCCAACTTTGAAGAGTTGGGGCCCAAGCACAAGACGACGAACGGCATTCCGAACCGCCAGGCAACTCACCTCGAAGCTCCTCGGGGGTTTTCTGTTTGTTTGGGAGCGCGCAAACCGCTGCCCTCGCTCGTCCGGTTCTCGCGCGAGTCCATCAGGCCACGCCCACCTTGTCACCTGACGATACGTGGGTCAGGTGAGACCCGCGCCGCCATGTTTATCACCTGTCAGCGCCAGGGTACCTCCTGGGACGTTTGGCGCTGACCTACCTCAACTGAAAACCATGACAAAAACTTGCTCGGGGTCGCCGCAAGTTGCGGCAAAAGCGAACGAGTTTTGGGGGGTTAGTTTTTGCTTTCAAGAAAAATCCAATTAAAATGGATCTCGGGGAACCTCAGGAAGATAAATGGAGTGCATGGGATCGCGAGACTACCTTGTGACGTCATGGTTCAAATGACAGATCAGTCAACAACTAGTAGCGGGCAATCATCAACCATGAAAAGTAGTCACAGACAATCAGAAATGCATAAAAGTGAGTTACAGGGGGTGGGCGACCAATGAAAAGTAGTCACACGTGGTCGGGTATTGAATGAAAAAGCTCACATCGCATCATCTTTTTCGCCTCAAGTCGTGGTTGAAGTCGTGTCTCCCCCTCGTTCCCGGAACGCTTTTGCCTCGCCTCGCTCAAATAGCAGGCCAGGCTTTGTCTATTAGCGGTGCCGTCGGCGCTTTTGCCACGACAAAGTCGGCCTGACCTGATATGTGGGGGCGCGGGGTTGTGGCAGGTGACACGGCGGCCATGTTTGGGGCTAACCGGAAGAAGTTCATGGAGGCGGGGCTGGAGGGCGACTACGCGGCGGCGGCCGACGAGTCGGGCGGCCTCTACTACAGCCAGCCGTCCGTCTTCCCGCCGCACCGTGCCGACAAAGACGTAAGCGGCGCCGTCGCTGACCTCGTCGACGCCGGCGAGGTCAGCGGGATGCCTTTGTGTTTCAGATCATGACCTCATCCTCCGCCTCGTCCCCGGGACAGCTGTCGCAGCTGGGAGCCAGTCTCTACGGACCTCAGAGTAAGTCCGCGGCACCCGTCCCGCTTCAAATCAATGAGCGCAGCGTCAGCGAGGCACATTCACATCTACGGACCGCGCCGCGTCCCGTCTGACGCAAAAACCCACTTGAGCGCCCGGATTCGAACCCGGAACCTCTTGCCCAACTCCAATCAAGATAGCGATTGTTGTTTGCGTTGCGTTCAGGTGCGCTCGGCTTCCCCACGCGGGGCATCAACAGCAGCGCGGCGCCAGTGCCGCAGAGTCGAAGCGCGCTCAGTCAGTCGGCCGCCGCACAGCTGAGCGGTCTCGCCGGCGGCGCCCCCGCCATGCACACGCCACCCTCGCCGAGCAGGTACGCCGCAACTTGCGACTCGACTTGCACAATCGCGGGCCGACTAGTTGGCAAGGAAGCCAAAGTCGCCGCAGAGTAGCGGAAACGAGCAACTCGATCTGACCTGGCGCCCGTCTCGGCAGGGGGATCCTGCCCTTGAACAGCCGCGGCGTCCTCAACCACAACCAGCAGGTGGGCGGCCCCGCGGGCCAGCCCGTCGGGATTGGAGGAGAACGAGGGGGCGGGGCCGGGGGGAGGAGTCCCGGCGGGTCCTCGCCCAGCATCATCGGAATGCCCAAACAGTCGCGGCAAGCCTTCACCATCAACAGGTACCCTCGACCTATGGCCCCGTGAGTCGGGAGGTCACGTGACTAGCGTGCGTGTGTACGTGTGCGTGCCAGCATGTCAGGTTTCGGCGTAAGCAGGAATCCCGGATTCAACATCTTCAACGGCACAGGTAAAGCCCGTTGCCGATTCGGACGCGTCGTGTTGGGCGCCGCGCAAAAACTCTTTGCCTTTCCCCCCCCCCGCGACAACGACAAATGCGCGATTGGTCGGG